CCGCAGCTGGACAGCCCAGGCGCGCCCGGGCTGTCCCGCTGCAGGCGTGCTCCGTGGCTTTGCTCCGCGTCTCCCTGGTCTGCTGGGGGGCGCTCCCCCCCTAGCAGACCAGGGAGATGTGGAGCAGCTTTTCTCGCCCCGGAGGACGGGGGCGGCGGGATTGCAGCGCATCTGGGCGTCCCACCGCTCCAGTCCTCCAGGGCGAGAAAAGTCCCGTTCGTAACTGCGGATCAGACGTAACTCGGATCTGCGTAACTCAGGGACTGCCTGTATATATTTGTATATATATGCAACTTAAGTTGCGGCCCTCAGCATGTGCTGTGAGTATCACTGTGGCTCCCGGAGCTTCCAAAGTTGAATAACCCTGGACGACACTATTACACCCCCAACAGGGTAGGAAGAGGGGTGTGCAACCTCTGTATATGGACATAAGGCCTTTTGGATTTTGACGTACACAGACAGCAAAGAAAGTGGATGCCAAGAGAAGCCAGCCCCACATTTTCCAGCTTGTATGAGGGGCCTGAGTGGGTGGCTCAGATGCCCTTAGAGGGGCAAGAACTCAAACAGAAGGGAAGAATGTGGGGCTCACAGGTACCCCAATCTTTATTCTCCCACAATCCTGCTAGCACTCACTTTAGGCACCCCATCCCAGAGTCTCCCGCCTCCAGCTTCCATAATGCCTCAAGGGCCCCAACTCCTCTACCTCTCACCACCATTTATCCCCCTCTATTTGCTACATATCCAAACCTCTCCTTTTATTCCCTTGCTATTTCATCCCCCAATATACCCCCCAAGAAGCATTTGTGGCCAGTTTTTTGATCCTTTGATTATACCGTCCCAATGAAATTGCCACCCATGACTCACAAGTTATACCAACCCTCAACTATTTAACCCATATTCCTTTTGTCTTACATGGCGACTTGTGATTAACTGATCCTCAGTTATTAGATAAGGTGGGTGAAATAATATCTTTGATTGGCTCAATTTCTGTTGGTGAAAGACAAACTTTCAAGCCACTCAAAAACTTGAGGAACAGCTTGAAAGCTTGTCTCACTCACTAACAGAAATTGGTCCAATCAAAACAAAAACCTGAGGAACAGCTTGAAAGCTTGTCTCGCTCACTAACAGAAATTGGTCCAATCAAAGATATTGCCTAACCCACTTTGCACCTCTAACACCCTGGGACCTAAACAGCTACATCCTCACTGCAAGGGAGGATATTCTTAGTTATGATAATTGAGAGTTAGTTTACAACCAGTCTCAAAGAGATCTGTGATTCAGTCATTAGTACCTCTAATTTAACAGTACAAAGCAACAGAAACTTTTTTGGGGGGAGGAGAGGGAACTGTACTATAGGAAATGTTGGTCAATATGATCCCAAATTGGATTACTTATGCTACTTTGCACACCCATAAGACACCAAATTTCAAAGAAATCTGAGTAACCATTTTGGATTTCAGAGCATTTTTTATGCTATAACACTCAACTCTTGTAAGTAGTGCCATTTTTCTGTATTGGTGCATGCACTTTAAAAAATTCATCATCTTAAATACTGTCCTCAGCTTGGGCTCCCCAGAAACTTAGTGGGGGCCATGCACTACCCTGGGCCAGATTCAAAAGACTGAGACCATTCTGATCTGTATCACATCAATTGTTTGAACTCCAGTTCAAAGCAAAAAGAAAGACACACAGAAACTCTGAAAAACAGCTAGACTTTTCTACGCTTATATCGCCCACATCCATTACTTCAATTGACCTTCCCCCCCCCCCCCCCCCCAACCCACACAACACCCTGAACTCTCATCATGCACAACAACCCAGCGATACCTGTCAATGTTCGGGTATTTGGAAAGGTCAACATTCAGCCAGAAGTCATAATACAATTTGAACTGCACTGGCACTACCGGGATACTAACAAGGGCCGTACTATAGATGTCGCTCCGTCCCCCGGTTTCCTGCTCCCCGGCACAAGCTATTTCAGGCGCCGTTCCTTCTCCCACTACCCGGGCGTGAAGCCCCGCAAATGGCTCCCTCTGCGCTCCGGACACGAATCAGCGCCACGCCGCGCTGTGCCGGGGTCAGCGTCCGCAGCGGCATTCACCGGCTCCGACATGGCGGCGGCGGGTCGGTGCCAGCGCCGCGGCCAGAGGGAGGGGAGGCCAAGGGGCCGCACAGCCGGGATGTCCAGCGCGGAGCGCGCCCTCTGACACGCGCGAGAGCGGCCGCCCG